AGCCGTTTTAGGGGGGCGTGGCAGAGTCTTAACTTTGATAAAGAATATCTCTTTGGTTTTGAGACTTTAGTCTTTGCAACTTCAGGGATCTTATCTATGCACAATCAGCTTGTAACACTCCAAAGAGAAAGGAAAACTTGAAATCGCATCATATGACCCCTGTAACGTTTAAATTTCTAATGGTTCACCACTAGGGGGCGTTGATCTGGTGAGTCCATGAGCCAGTGCTTGTCAGCATAGTGTAAATTAAATTTAACACTACTGACTCATAGGTAATGATAGGCTTAGGTAATAGTTTGAACATAAGACTATTTCTTATTTTACCTTATAACATGACGAACAACCAAATGCAGGCGTAACAAGGAATCTATATGTATTTTAATACATTTTAAACTTGGTTACAATTATTTATGAAAAAATATAATGCACTTTTGATATTAGAATGTTTACATCAGCTTTTCTCAACTGCAATTTAGTTAAAATTATGCATTTCTTTTTGTTCAGTTTTTTTTTTTTTATAAGACAAAAAAGGTTGGGAAACACTGATATAGTTGATGGTTATGACTGACCACATCAGACAATTTAAAACTTATTTGAAAACAATGTTTATTGTAACTCACTGCTTCATTTGTCAGGCAGTTTCATTGTCAAAAACTATGTCTGGCTCGGACAAGAGCCAAATAGCCCTACAATTTCTGCAGACAGCTCATGATGCTCTTTAGGGCCATACACACATTTTTTTTTTAGAGCAGCACATTGGCATTAACATACAACACAACAAAGAATATGTTTTGCACTTAAAAGATATTTCTTAAGTTTATTTTTCAAAAAAATGTCCCCCCCTTTTGGTATTTGTACAAATAAATGTTTCACAAACAATCTGGGAAACATATGTTGATTTTGAAGTAACAAAAACAGTAAGATGGTGGTTCTTTTTTTCTCCATTTCTTTTCGGGCAAAAGTTGCAATTTTTCTAACAGTCATTCTTAAAGATAATAAATGATAGAAACATACTTATGTATTTTTTTGCATATATATATTTTGAAATTTTAACAATTCTAGAATAACTTTTTATATTAATACATCTCTTACAGTATCCAAACTCGTTGATATGTGAAAGGCTGTTGAGAAGTCAAGCCTCCCTTCCACTAGAGGTCAGCACTGAAGTTTAAAGATCTACAACCTTTTAAGCATATAAGAGAACTGTCAATTCCAGATTTCATGGTTAATCACCTCTACCACCATATAAAGAATGAGCATTCACTACAAGGTTCTTTCAAAGTGAACTTAAAACCCTCTTTCCTCCTAACAGTCATTCAGTGCAATAAAGGAAGATAAAATTGCCACCGAGTAAACTACAGATGCTTGCTTTTATGTGACTGAAAGGTTTAGGCTTACATGGTGGTAAACACACGAGTGAAAAACCACACAAACTTACAATAGTCTTTTGTGCACTGTTTGATTCAAGGCATAGTATTGCAAGTACAAATGTTGCAGGACCCTAGAAAGTTTGATCGTCATTGCAGGACTCCGTCCAGTGGCCGAAGACCTCACAGATGTCACAGTAAGGTCTTTCATCATTGGGACTGCCATGATAGGTGGTGTGTGGCGGGGAATCTAGCATCTGGTCCTGTGTGGGACAGTCCTCTGTGTCGTGTAGGTCAAAGCAGTCACATATGTCACAGAAGAGACGGGGAGGGGGTTTCTTTTTAATCGTTGGCTCGGTGTGACTAGGTAGAGAACACAAGGGTGTGAGATACTGTGTAACAGTATATTAACAGCTTTTTTGATTCAACATTTTTATTCAGTTTTTACACATTTTGCATATCATAATAAAATGATGGATGAAGCCTGGATAACCCAAGCTGAAATAATCGATTTAATTCTAAACAATACATAGGAATTAAGTAAAAAAAGGTAACACTCCTTAAATTTCGAAATACTTTTCTATGTATTTATGTACACAGAATGACTTTTTTTGTTTCAAGAATTGAAAACCATCAATAAGTCTACAAAATCTCTATATACCCAAAATCAACTAATATAAAATCAGTAAAGCTACCAATTAAGTGAAAAATTAGTTTGAAGATAAAAAAAATTGCGAATTCAGCTCATTCTTGGGATTGTATGCTGAGATTTAAAAACAAAACACCTGTTATGACTGTCCATTTCAGTTGCACCATTTCCATTGAGCGCTGCTTCAGCCATCTTCTCTAGTTTCGATTTTAGGTCTTCGTTCTTCCGCTGAAGTTCCACAATAACTGAGTTCAAGAATTCAACCTTTCCAAAAAGAAAAAAAAAAAAAAAGCAAGTGTTTCAAATGTGCAATTCATAAATTTATAATATCATAAACCTGCAGAAAGCCTGTCCAATTGTTCTAAGATTATATTATGGCATCTATTCTTATGGCATTGCTTATATATACATATATGATTGATTTATAGTTTATAATTTAGCTCTATATTCATGGTGAGAAACAAATGAAAACTAGACTGTAAATAAACTATATAAAACAACAAATTCAATCTGTATTCCACGTTTGTGATGGTTAAATACAAATTCAGACGAGACAAGGGCTCCAGATTAGAGATGAAACGATTATAGTGACCGAAATGATCATGGTTATCAATATTATTGTTAAAATGTGCTGGAAATGTTCAAAAACTTCTCATACACACACTGAAATCATTTAAAGTTTTCAAGTCAAACATGAAAACATTATGTCAAAAATAGTGCTGTCAATCGATTAATCGTGATTAATGGCATCAAAATAAAAGTTTTTGTTTACATAATATATGTGTGTGTACTGTGTATATTTATTATGTATATGTAAAGACACACACATACAGCATATATTTTAAAAATATTTACATATATTTATATTCATATATATTATATCATATATAAATATATTTAATATATAAACGTAACGTTTTTATTAAATATATACATGCATGTGTGTGTGTGTGTGTATTTATATATACACAATAAATAGACACAGTACACACACATATATTATGTAAACAAAACTTTTATTTTGGATGCAATTAATCGCGATTAATCGTTTGACAGCATTATTCAAAAATAAATAAATATAATAAAAATTAGCAGCACTGCGTTTTTTTTTTGCATAAACATTAAAATAATATCATTAAAAATGATGGCAGATTTTAAACCAACAAAATATTGGTTGGGTGACTTACAATGTAACTCATCTACTAACATGTACTACATGTTCAAATAAAATTAAGATAAAATAAAGTTATAAATGATGAATCTCCCAATTCAGCCTTTACATAATGATTAATTATAGGCATTTTATCTGTTCCATAAACAATTCTACATAGGCTACCATTTATCTGCAGTGTTAAATTTTTTTTAGAATGTACATTAGCTTGTTTTCCATCTACCGGTTAAGATTTATGATAAAAATGTGGTCCAACAAAAATGGCAGACAGGCTGAATGAAAATGTAACTCCACTGTCTGACAGCAAGTGGCACTTATGGAACAGCAGAAACAGAGCAGTTTCCTCGGTAACCTTTGTAAACAAAGCAGCGCTGTTTAGCAGCTGAGAAGAAAAGCAAATGCTATTGTCAGTTCCTCCACATGCATTTATAGAATTCATTCATCCATACATTCTTTCCTAGAATTTCTCTATCAGCACTCTGTTTTAATGATAATTAAAATATGAAGTGGTAATTCTAACCGCTGTTACTATTTAATCATGGTTATGGTTATCCAGATACAGTATTGGGGTGAATGACGGAAAGCTTTCTCTGTTTAAAATTTGCTGGTGGTGATCAATAACGACTTTGGCTATTTGTTAAAATTATGTTTCAATTTGTAGGAATTCTTTTACACATAAAAATATCTGTAAATATGTTAAAAAGCCAGTTTTAACTAAGCATGGACAACAAAAGTAAAGTGATTCATGAGAATATTCTAACAAAAATATCCTATATAGTATAATGAGAATATTGATTAAATTTAGTTAGCAACTTTTAATTAGGCAGACTTGTAGACAATTTAGACCAAAAAATTTCCTCTGTGTCAAATGCCTAGAAAAAACTTTATTACTAATTTCTAGGGTAATTTAAACAAACTTTTTTTAAAGCAGGTTTTAGACTAATACTGTACTTGGTTGTATCTGATGTTGTAGGACAGTGGGCCAAGAGAACAGTATGCCATTACAATGATGGACAAAAATATACATTATAAAGAGAAAACTTTCCACTCTGCATACCTGCCGCTCAGCATTCTCCTTGGCCTCCTTCCACGTTTTTAAAGCAGAATCATCTGGTTGGAACGTAAAACATGCAAACCAGTCATGTAGATTAAACATAAATACAACACACTTATAAGAAGTTAGATTTAGGTCAGTTTAAGGTAACAGTTACAGTATATAGGTAATTCTAAGCTAAGTTTGATCCCAAAATGCAATAGCAGAACTACAGTCTGCCTGGAAGAATTTAAATGCAATGCAATGAAAACAATAAATGTTATTTTATATTTTTGTAATTCTTTTCTTTTTTTTCAAATGTGCATTTCAACCTGTTTTATTTACTTTTAACTGATGGAATAGACACATGCGATAAAGTTGTGTGTCGAGTTGTACCTGAGGCATCATCTCCTTTGCTGGTGATCTGAGCGTCAGCTAAACTCGTCTCCAGATTCTTCACTCGCTCCTGCAGCAAAGTATTCTCACTCTTGTGAGATTTCAGATTGGACTGCAGCACCTGTGTCGTATCACGCAGACCTGCTATCTGCTTGCAAAAACCGCAAAAGAAAAAAAAATCAAGCAAAACTGAAATTTGCACATACACACCATAATTCAAACAGATGCTACCTCGTTTCTCAGAGAGTCTAATTCTTTGTCCTTCTCTGAGATCAAGGCACTCTGTGTTTGGAGAGATTGCTGTAGTGCTTCCTTCTCTTTTTCTGTTTCTTTTGTTAAAGTGCTTTCCCTGTGCAGAAGACAGATTGCATGATGTGTGCATTCTCCATTCATTAATGCAGGAATGTACAGTCAAGAATGTCTATATTAAAACAACAAAGCAAAACTTCTACACATGATGCAGTCAAAATTGTATTACATTTCCTGTAGTTGCTCACCTCATTTTTATCTTCTTCAATTGACTATTGAGGCTGTCACACTCCTTTTTGAACTGCATTGAGGAACAGAATTTAATATTTATGCAAAAAGTACAAAATTATTATTTTGCATTAATATTTTCAGATTTTAAAAAAATGTAGCAACTTAGTAAAAGAGCCTATAATTTAGAAACCATAGCTCACATATTCTAATAGTATAAAACTACATTTATGAATTTTTTTTTCCTGAAACATAACTACCATGTTGTGTTCATATAAAGTTATAAAGTATGGTCCACTTTTCAGATATTTCTGCCCTAGTAACCCTGACTTAAACATGTAAATTAAGCTGTACAACAGTTTTATTCATTTTATTTTAAATGTGCAATTTAAGGACTGATTTATCTGAAAATTAAGATACCACAATAATAAAGACTAAAGGTCCTTGCACACCGAGTGCGTATTAATTAATCTGTTGTGAAAAAATGTGACTAAATGGAGTCTTCAAGCAGTAAGTATGATTTTGTTGTCCTCTGGCTTCTTAAAAAGAGAAAAAGAAATTGGGTCCATCCAATCCTGAGATATAGAGAGGAAGGAAACTTCCCTCTCCTTATTAAGGAGCAGCGGGATTATCACGGGCGATTCAAAGTTTACTTCAGGATGTCAGTGGCTCAGTTTGATGCTTTGCTAGCCATACTAGAGCCACATTTTAAAAAGACCACCACCAATTTCTGTGAACTCGGTGTGCAAGGACCTTTACAGTGCTTTGTGCTGCGAGACGAAGTGGATGAACTTGACAATCGCCATTCTGGATTGTGCCGTTCTCATGTAAGGTGGCTCTGAATTGTCAAAACACCTCTCAAAATGCTTGCTACGGATGCGATAAATGCAGAAAATCGAACCCGATCCGAATTTGTTTTATGACGGACGAAAATTTCGGACTCAGTGTGCAATGGCCTTAACAAGGGAAAAACTCCACAGTTCCAGTCTCTGAACAGAAACTGACGAATTACAAAACTTTTTGTCCAAATGTAATAATAGCTTAATATCATACAACAGTGAAAGTCATATATTTTAAGAAATATTGAAGCTTGGAGAATTGCTTTACAAATATGGTGTGTAAATTTATTACTATAAATATTATATTTTAAATATATGCACAAGCAGCAATTATTGGGGTCCAAGCACCAGAAGCTCATGTAAACAAAGTTTCTCAAATATTATGTACGGTTAAGTATGTTTGTACTTGAGTCAACTTAAATCTAGAATCTCCACTAATTTTGTAATTTAGGGTTTGATGAAACGGCTTAGAAAATTACAAGAGACATGCTTATGGACAACATTAGTATTACAGCCCATCAACCATCATTTACACATAAATACAGATAAATTGCTGATCATTCAGAATTTGCTTTTAGCCCCCATGAAAATCAGAAATTTGTGAAATTTGGTGGGTTTTTTCAAACTATTATATTGGCCATGTGTACCAAGTTTTGTAAAGTTAGGACACTGCATTAACAAGATGCAGGCCAATTCGTTATAATGGGCCTCACGCACAAATATAATGGCCTACATCTCTACTTTATGGATCGAACAGTTGCAAAATTACAGGGTTTAGGTTGCAAACTGTAGTGTTCTCAGAATGTCCTGATGTCTGTGTATAATGTTTTGTAAAGCTTGGATATAGTGCTCTGCAAATATAGGTAAATTGGTAAAAATGGCTATCACCTAAAAAATGTATTACCTTATATCTTCACAACGCTCTAACAAATCTAAATTCTTTTGATAACTTTCCATAACCCTCAGGTCATGGTTGTCATAAAACACACCAAGTTTGGTCTAAATAAGATACATTTAAAAGATATAGCCTCAAGTTCATTTTACTGTGCTCTTCATCAATTTTGAATTAATTTATTTTATTTTAATATGTTCTCAAACTGAGATAAACGCTATGTAATGTGTGACAATTCTACCCAAATATCATACAAAAGTATTACATAAACAGCCACACTACCTCATTTCTCAGAGAGTCTAATTCTTTGTCCTTTTCTGAGATCAAGGCACTCTGTGTTTGGAGAGACTGCTGAAGTGCTGCTTTCTCCTTTTCTGATTCACTTGTTAAAGTGCTTTCCCTGTGCAGAAGACAGATTGTAGGATATAGTTGAAACAATGAAACAAATTCCTTGATACATGACTCCATAAATAAATTCTCTGTTGTTCCTTACCTCATTTTCATCTCCTTCAATTGATCATTAAGGTTGTCGCACTCCTTTTTGAGCTGTATTGAGGGTGAAACAAATTTACCTCTCATATTTAACCCATTAATCATCGCAACATTGCATTTAAAACATAAAATATTTACATAAAACACATTGCACAACATTGATCCACTTAATTTTTTAGCATTCAAAACTGCTTTAAAATCAAACAAAAATGAACTGAACTTAAAGATCTGGACAATCGGTTAACATACATTTAGCAGAATGTTACTGTCTTTGTGGCTACTGGCAAGTTTCACGGTTAACTTTTCCTTCTCATTTTTCAGAGCCTCCACTGCCTGGGCTTTTTCAGCAGCAGCTTGTTTCAGCTCCTCACTGAAACACAACCAGCGTTTATTCAAACAACACAGAGACAGATAAAAAGTGAATTTACAAAGGATTCCTTTTCCACTTGTTCTTAAAATAATTATAAAAAGAAGCAGCTCTCAACAATTATCTAATCTATTAATTAGGCTATATATGCAAGAGTGTTAAAGGGGTCATATGATGCTTTTTTAAAGATCATTATTTTGTGTATTTGGTGTAACAGAATATGTTGACATGCTTTAATGTTAAAAAAAACACATTATTTTTCAAATACTGTACTTTATTGTAGGTCCTCTATGCCCCGCCTCTCTCAAACGCTTCGTTTTCTACAAAGCCCCCTGCGATTATGGTAAGTGGCGTTACATTTCCGACGAGTGCTTGGGTCAGCTGGCCAATCAGAGCAGACTGCGCTTGTCGGAAGGAGGGACCTTAGTAGAAAACAAAGCGTTTGAGAGAGGCGGGGCATAGAGGACCTACAATAATGTACAGTATTTGAAAAATAATGTGTTTTTTGAACATTAAAGCATGTCAACATATTCTGTTACACCAAATACACAAAATAATGATCTTTAAAAAAGCATCATATGACCCCTTTAACTCACCCTCAAGTTGTTCCAAACCTGTATGAGTTTCTGTCTTCTGTTGAACACTAGAGAAGATATTTTGAAGAATGTGGGTAACCAAACAGTTGCTGGTAGCCACTGACTTTCATAGTACAGAAAAAAATACTATGGAAGTTAATGGGGACCAGAAACTGTTTGGTTATCCAACATTCTTCAAAATAACTTCTTTGTGTCTGTGTGTGTGTGTGTGAGAGAGAGAGAGAGAGAGAGATCAAGGACATGAGGGTGAATAAATAACAAAATTTTCATTTCAGGGTGAACTATACCTTTTCTTATAAGAAGGAAACTATAAGGAAACTATAAGTTTTCCTTCCCTAGTATTATACATGGTTGAATTACAAACAAAGAAAAATAAATATCAGTAGCAGATTGAGACAAGATTTTAAACTGAGTGAAAGTTTATCATGAATATAAAACAGTTAACTTAATACCAAAGAGAAATTACTTAAATTTCACAACAACAGAAAGAACAGCAATGTGTGCGAATGGTTGAAGACACTCACATCTCTTTACTGAGGCTGCTGATCTTCTGACTGTCAGAATTTAGATTCTCTTGATACTGCGAGTTCTGCTGCTTCAAAGCATCCAGCTTCAACAAGTACAGAGAAAACAGTTTAGAAACATCCTCTGATCATCTTAAAATATACACATTATAGGACAAGGACAACCTGAAGCGGGCACTTATAAATATGTAAAATTCTGCACACATCTGACAAGAGATTTGCATAGCATTCTGCTATCTCATGTTTTCAGATAACACAAAAATAGACTCTTCCTCCAGCTTGCAAAAAAGAATAGAAACTGCAGATGCAGGGTTAAGACATTCTGCAGGTTTAAAAGCAGAAATGTGAAGGTTTGTACTTTTGTTCAAGCATTTACATGAATTATTCAGTAATACTAATACTGCATTATTACTAATTCATGTTATTTGATCTGTAAACGTGTCTAAAAATCATCCTTGACTTTGTAGGTGGATAAAATTCTGGTTATGCATTACTGACAATTTTGGTGGGTGAAATTTTACCCATGTAGCTAGTATCCTAGCTAGTGATTGAAAGACTGAATATAACTGTACATTTAAAGGTGCAGTAGGAGATCTTGAAAAATGTTAACTTTAGCCTGATAGCACTGAAAGCGAACGTCCCACCCCTGAAAGCCACGCCCCTGAATGCATGAATGCACACACAGACCAGACGATCAGAGACAACATTACAACAATACATCATGTATCATTAATTGGTGAGAAAACTTCATAGTACAGTTAGTAAAAGTACTACAATACCAGGAAGTAAGATCAGGTTGTTGATGTTTGTCTGCCATTCTCACTCTGTCTGTACAGCGTTCGTGAACGCACTGATGGCGTATCCTGTCTGCGCGAACCGGGTGCGCAGAGGTATGCAAATACATACGTTGACAGGCAGGTAGGAAAGCCAATTAAAACGCTCGGAACGAGCTTTTTGATTTGACGAACATGTCTTGGTCCTACGCCTTCCACAGAATATATAAATACAGATCAATACATTTAGACCACTTAAATTAATGATTGCTATCGGGATGTGAAGAGACTTTCAACCAGCATAACAAAACAAAATTCTGAAGACAATCACCTATTGCACCTTTAAGATTAGTAAGCACTTATGTCACACTAGTCAAATGCAAACATGTATATTGGCTAAGTTTTGTGGCTATACTTTCAAAACAATATGCATTTTCGAGTCACCATGTAATCGAAATGGACAATTCTTTTTTTTATTCTAAATGATTATAAAGTTAAAGGTGATTTATCCATTTCCATTTTTTTTTAATTAATGTGCTCTCACAATCTTTAATTTAAAAACATTAATGATAATAATCCATCTACTTCAGCAACCCATCACTCATGTGAGATCGCAGTGATTGCAAACACTGCGATATAATCATTTCACAATGGACAAAACCATGTACATCAAAATAGGGAAAAGACTGACACTTCTGTTCAATGCCTACTTTTATTGCTTTACACATACAGTTAATGAAATTTTGGATGCGTCAAAACATATGTTTAATTTCTGATAATTTTGAAGAAGCAGTTGAAGATGTTACCTCATTTCTCAGAGAGTCTAATTCCTTGTCCTTTTCTGAGATCAAGGCACTCTGTGTTTGAAGAGACTGCTGAAGTGCTGATTTCTCCTTTTCTGATTCACTTTTGAAAGTGCTTTCCCTGCACAGAAGAGAGATTGTATGATATGTGCATTCTGCATGCAAGGAACAAATTTAACTTTAGTCATCATTTACTCGCCCCTCAAGCTGTCCACTTTAGTGGAATGTTCACACTGCTGCTTTCAATGATGTAAAAAGCATGCAGCTCCAAAAAGCGTCATAAGTTTTCAGATTTCAAATCACATATTCCTGCAGCAGCTGAGTGACTGCAGATTAATAGAAATGCCATTGCATGACTTCTGAAGACTTATATATAAGTTCACAAGTCATGATGGACTAATTTTATGATGCTTTTTAAATTTTCTTTCAGAGAGATTTCCTGGTCACTTTATGCTCTCATTGCATGGAAAAGAGCAACTTTAACATTCTCCTAAACATCTCTTTTTTGGTTACACAGAGAAAAAAAAAGTTTGTCACGAGGATGAGTAGATGATGACAATTTTCAACTATTCCTTATCATTTGAGGTTGTAGTAGGCTAATGACAGACTAGAACTAAAAATCAGGCCCAGACCTAAAACAGTCTATAAAAACAGCCTATATGTCTATAAAAAGCATGAATAAAATGCTATAGGACAGATCAGTTGAAACACTAAACACCGTCACTGTCTGTACTACCTCCATCTTGATATTGTAACAAATTCTCCCCTGTACGTATTTTTCTTTTTGTAAAAGTTCATTACCTAATTTTCATCTCCTTCAATTGGTCGTTGAGACTGTCACACTCCTTTTTGAGCTGCATTAAGATAACAGTAAAGAGAATTCAGGATATTTACTTCTCATAAAATAGCACATAAATGAGAACAAGATAATATTCAAAAAACAAAACAGAAATTAGTTAAGCATCTGGATTTTGAGTCTTTTCTGGTAAAAAATAAAACAGTAAAATATTACACACATTTTGCTTAACATACATTTAGCAGAATGTTACTGTCTTTGTGGCTGCTGGCAAGTTCCAGTGTTAGCTTTTCCTTCTCATTTTTCAGAGCCTCAACTGACTGGGATTTTTCAGTGTCTGCTTGTTTCAACTCCTCACTGTAATACACAAAATTATTATGTTTATTAGGCCTCTTTTGAACTGCTGGAGAACCACTGTTTTCGCTGTTTCCCCCCAAAAAAAACACTACAATGATGTCACATTTGAACTTTTATAGTGTGTTTGGTGATGTTTTATGTCTGTGTCAACGCCTCAATCAATATTTACTGTAAGGTTAACCAAAGAATGTGGGGAAAAGTCATTTATATAGCTACTTCAAGGATTTAAAAAAACAAAACGCAACAGATGTTGTATTAACGGTGTCAATTATTTGTAACATGTTAACCGGCAAATATTAAATCACAGAAATGAACACTTTATTTTTCCCAGCCCTAATAATAATCTGAATGAATATCATACAGAAATGACTTAATCTACACAATTCCAAAGAATACAGAATTCAAGTGTAGACACTCACATCTCTTTACTGAGGCTGCTGATCTTCTGACTGTCAGAACTCAGATTCTCTTGATACTGCGAGTTCTGCTGCTTCAAAGCATCCAGCTTCAACAAGTACAGAGAAAACAATGAGCAGCTTGAAGCAGACACTACTAAATATAAATTATTCTACAGATATCGGAGGAGAAATAGCCTATATGCAGAATTTAAAAAAAATAATTTTAGAGCTCATATTGGCATTTACACAAATTATTCAAGTTATCTGAACTGCACATTTGTATAAATTGCGTTTTTACCAGCAGGCCAACTTTCCCAGGTAGATGAATGTCTGGTTAGACCTTACTGATGTAACTCCTGTAAGTTTTTACAGTTTTTCCTCTCTGTAAACAGTATTTCAAGGATAGGTACAGCACATTTCTTTAGTTGTGGTGCTACACACTTGCCTGTTAAGCTTCTATTTTGTGGCAAATACATTACTAATGTACAGTCGAATGTACTTCTCAAAGCAGAAGTAGAAGTAGTAATAGTAGGAGGAAGAAGATCTTCTTTATGCACCAAGAGCTTGTAATACTTCAAAGAGAAAGGAAAAATTGAAATCGCATCATATGACCCCTTTAATTTTAACAGTAAACCTCTGTTACTCTGTTAAATGAAAGGAACTGTTAAATTTTCATTTGTTCACATTTTAAAAGATTAATTACATTGTTAATGTTTTATGCCTTAATGCGTTCACCACAATTTTTGATAAAAGTTTTATAAAATCATACATTCAGAAAAGTTAAAACAGACAACTCAAGGTCCTACTGCAGTAAAAATAAATAAAATAAAGTAAAAAATGAATGAATGAAATAAATTGTTTTATAAATTAAATTGGACATGCTTTTTGATTATTAACATTTAATTAAACCAGTAACAAAGAATTCACAAACATTGAAATGGAAAAACATCATAGGGCTCTAAAAATGTAATTTTTATTAAACTTTTAATAAATTAAATTTCAAGATTTCAATTAGACCTGATTACCAAAATGTAATTTAACCATTAAAACAGAATCCACAAATATTAAAAATGAAAAACAAAGAATCTAGAAAAATTTAAATGGGGGAAAAAAATTAAGCTGGGAAATAATAAAATGTTTAAAAAATAAATTACTATTATTAGTAGTAGTATCTGTGACCCTTAAAGGGGCACACACTTGGGTCTAGTCTGGGTTTGTTGTTTTAGTGTCGGAACTGCAAAACACGGCAGAAGTGTCACAATCTTGTTACCAAAGACTAGAAATCACACAGAGATAACAGGACTATGACACTTCGTCCCTTTTTGTCCTTATTATGACAAAGGTGTTAATGTTATACCTTGGAATAATTCTTCCCTAACCTCAGCATGATTTTACCTTGCACTGCATTTCTTGCATTGAGTTTTTGAGCTGCGTTACCAGAGCCTCAGCCTCAGACTTGTCTTTCTGAAGTTGTTGGTTCTCCTGGGTGAGGCTCTCCAGTGAAGCCTGTGCAGTCTGTTCTGCTTTCTCTGAGACCTATGTGCAAATTAACAGTAGGGGAAGAGTTCAGCCTGAGGTCACATTCTGATTCTGATTAAGCATCATGAGACATTTAGTATAGTATAGATGTTTTTAAATGCTACATTTTATAATTTTACCATTTCTTCAAATAGTTTTTATGGATTTATAATCTATTTATAATCTAGTATTTTTGCTGCAAAGGTCAAGACCTACACTTACAACTGCAGTACATGAATTGTCAAAATAGCCCCATGCTCTTTCACAAATTAAGTATTATGGTCTTACCGTAGCTTTTTCTTTAATGGTCTTCAACTCCTCAATCTGTTTCCTCAGCTCCAGGCTTTCATCCTGAGACACTTGGAGCTCCTGTTGCACTTTTTCAAACTTGCCGTTTAGTTCCTGCATTTCTTTTGTATGCCGTTCCACAGCATCTGCAAGTGCTTTCTCTCCCAAAGCAAGCATGTCTTTGGCTTTAGACTGATTGTCTTCAGCACCCTTCTCCTGAGGAGTCATGGGAAAATGGCAATTTTCAAGTCATATAAGAGTGCACTTGACAAGCAGAATGAAAAGGGGGAGAAATTTACCACAACTGGTAGAAAAGTTGAAATCAATTCAAATAAGATCAGGAATTTTAATAACGTTAGAAGTGTTAAAGGGATAGTTAATCCAAACATGGAAATGTAATCACCATTTACTTATGTTGATCCAAATCCATAAGACTTTGGTTAATCTTTGAAACAATTGAGGATATTTTAATGAAACCAGAGAGGTTTCTTAGAAAACTTAGAAGAACTTTTATGATCCACAAAGTTAAATCCGTTCAACATATAAAGTAATCGTATCTCTTCAAAAGGATGAGAAATCTTGGGAGTAAACTGCTTGATTCATATGGATTCATTTTACGCAGCCTTTATGACCCTTTGGGATCTTCTACATTTTGGTTACCTGGACCTTTAACGGAGGGACAGAAACCTCTCAGGTTTCATTTAAAAATTCTTACTTTGTGTTTTGAAGATGAACCATGTGATTGGAACGACATGCAGGTGAGGAAATGATGATAATTTTCATTTCTGGTTGAACTATCCATTCAAATCATTACACTTAAACACCAGAATCAGACAATGCCTTTATTTCGGTTGGGAACGATAAGTATGTGATGGGAGAAGTTTAACAGTTCTCACCAAAAGCTTGATCCTCTCCTGCAGGTTGGAAAGCTCTGCTTGGTGTCTCTTCTCAAGGCTTTTGGCTTCATTCTCAGCCTGGACTTGTGCTCGAGACTGTTTCTCCTCAACCTGAGCTGCCTTCTCCCTCTCCTCTTCAAACTGGTTCTGAAGCTCGTCTAGTCTCCTGAAATTAGGGAGGATTTGTGAATTGGGTACGAGTTCCTGAAATAAGGCTTGATTTGCAAGATTACAATTTAGTCTACCAAAATATTAGGCCCCACAAACTAAATCACGCTAATATGTAAACAGAGATAAATACTTCTGTTTACTTTCTGTATGGTTTTGTTTTTAAGCATTTTAATCAAGCATATTTAAGCAGACCTTTCTTTCTGCTTGATATCCTCATTCAGCTTTGTTATTACAGTAGAACTGTCTCCTGATGACTTTGTCATGTCCATAATGTCATTCTCAAGTTTAGTCTTGTCTTTGGTCAGCAGCAGTATCCTTTCTTCGTTTGCTTTCAAATTTCTCTGTAAACCTAAAGATGGAAAAAGATACCAATCATACATAATTACAAACATGACATTTTAATTAGTTCTTTCACTGATTCATATTTCATTGAAGAACTTGGTACTGACCAGCAAACTGACTCTTCATATCCTGTAATTCAGCAGAGCGAGATGTGCATTGTTCCTCTTTATTCCTGAGCTCCTCACGTAATTCTGAAATAGACAGCAAATCAGTCACGCTGAATATAAAGTTCAAAATCTTACATATTTCAAGTCATAACTGTGTAATCTGTGCATACACATACCTTGATTAGTCTGAGCAGATTTGGCTTGATCATTAGATGTTTTTTCAAGATTCTGTTTCTAGAAAATTAAGAATGTGAATTGATTCGAGGATTATGGCTGAAACATTCTCTGGCTTAATTCCTTGTATTTGCTTTGTTATTTTGTTGTGTTGTGCATCAGAGGATCGCCAAAGCTGGACTGACATTCATTCACTCACTGAATCAGTCAGAGTGGGTCTTGAGTTTAACTCCTACATTTCCTAAACATAGACCCCAGAACCCCACCATCACCCCTGCCACTCAAGTAGGCTATAATCAGCGGTGTCATTATTTCTGCCTTTCATATGTACTTGTGATACTTAAAGAAGTTGTTCACCCAAAGATGAATGACCTCTGTGACTTACTTTCTTCTGTGGATCACAAATGATTATATTTTGAAAGTAAGTGGGGTCTAAACAACATTGGACCACACTGACTTTCACTGTATGGACAAAAAAAAAAAAAACAGTAAATGACAGAATATTCATTTTTGGGTGAACTATCCCTTTAAGTGCTTCTACTATCAGTTACTTTAGTGCCTTTGCTGTATTTCTCTCATGAGATAATTTAACTAGACCGTTTCCATTCAGGTATCTTTTCACAGTCACTTACCAGCTCACTAACTTCTTGCTCCAGAGAGCTCTTTTCCTGCAACAGGCCATTCAGCTCTTGCTGTTTACCCTCTAGTACTGAGTTCAACTCAGTGACCTAAAGCAAGGTGTAGCACCATAATGGAGGAAAATGACAGGGAACAAAACATGAGGAATGTCTCACACAAAAACTCAAAAAGTTGCCAGTCATACAAATTGGAACTTAAAAGTGAAGGACTGAAATATCATGGAAAATAAAATCTCAGAACACTCTTAAGAACAATGTTACCATGGATGTATAGGGCTGCATGATTTGGAGAAAAAAAAAGAATTCTGATAAAAATTGTGATTATGATTGTGAAAAAAAAAAAATCCAGGTTTGCCATGCTTGTTTGTAGGGTCACACAATTTAGCAAACATGTTGTAATTGTATACGTTTTATATGGCTATAAAACAATAATAATAAAAGGAATTCTTATTACCAAATAAAAAAAATAGAAGATACCCAGGTTAAAGATTACAGGTTAAAGATACCCAAACTCAGAGCAGATGCTGATATGGAGTTCGTTTGAAGCAGCATTTACTGTGAACTGAGCCGCTCTGAGATGCTGCAAACAATGGCAGATCATGAGCTGCTCGTGTATGAACACAGTGCTGCGCTTCACTCTGAAACACAGCGCATATATTTACTTAATTAAATCAGTCTTTGAAATTTGACAATTGCACTAAGCCATACTGTGATTGTTTTTTTTTATTTCAATGAATCATGCAGCCCTATTATGCAGAATTCACAAATGACATGATCAAACAGAAAGAAAGAGAGAGAGAGAGAGAGAGAGAGAGAGAGAGAGAAAGAAAGAAAGAAAGAAAGAATGAATGCCACTGATGTCAAATTTGGCACAATGCACCTTCAATGTGTCAAATGAGATTTGAAAACTATAGCAGACGGACTGATTCCTGCCTGTTTCTCATATAAAGCTATTGTATGGCTTCAGAATAGCTGAAATGCCACTTTTGTCACTGAGCTTGACAGCCCCAGTTTCCATGCATTTATGCTGAATAGAAAAGAGCAACTTGGACATTCTGCTAATGGTATGTGTTGATTACAGCATTACATTTATATTTACTCTCATGGCATTGTATGAGGCATGCAATCAATGTTTCTACAAATAACAACTAAAAAAAGAGATCAAAAAATTCATTTTATATAAACTATAAATAGACATACTATTAATAAAATAAATAGCACTCAAATAGTGTTTTTTTGTGTGTTTACAATCTACATTTGTTATTATTGATCTAACCATTATTTAATTACAAAATGGTTTAGGGTGTCTTGGAATCTAAAAATAAATTGAGTTCGCACTCCAAAGAACATAGCATTTGTGCCAAAATCTTTGGCAACTGCTGTTGATTCTTCATTATCAGCCTTTGTAGATTCCTCGTTATGCATGTTCTACTTGCAAATTGGACATGAAGGCCTACCTTTTCTTCCTGAGATCTGGATTGGCTTTTTGCCTCGTCTATTTGGGTCAATAAACTTTGCATCTCTTGGTTCCCTTGACTTTGCTGTGACTGCAGAGTCTGAACGGCTGTTTTTTGCTCCAGAGCTTCTTGTGACTTTTCATCCAACTGCTGACCTAACTTAACTCCCGCGTCCTCTAGCTCTTTTACCCTGAGCTCAGCACTGTGAAGTTTTCCCAAGACATCCTCCATTTCCACCAGGTGCTGCTCCTCTGCCTTCTCCAAATTGGTGCGTAGCGTTTCTACCAGCCGTTCGTTCTCTTCTGTGACTTTCAGGAGCTGTGCCTTGTGCTCTTTGGCTTCACCCGTCCACTCCATGGTTTCAGAAGCATGTTTGTTAGCAAGCTCTTCGAGCTCCAGTTTATGTGTTAATTTCAACTGTTCCAGAGCACTGTGTACCTCCAGCAGCTCAGATTTGCTTGCCTCATGGGAGGTTTTGAGCTCCTCCAAGGCTTGCTGATGTGAGGCCTCAACTGATGCTAGTTTAGCATGCCACTCCTCAATGATATTTGAATTCTCCTCCTTGGATTTCGCTAGCTGACATAAAAGCTGCTCGTTATCCTTCGATAAGCGACCTGAGGATGACTGGAGCTGTGACAGAGATTCACGGTGTTCTTTTTCTCGAGCCGCAAGCATCTCACGCAAGGAAGACAGCTCTGCTTGGTGACTGTCACTTTGAACGGCCAGCTGTGTACGGAGGGAACAGAGTTCCTCCTGGAGTACTGCCGTGGTGGAGTCAGTAACCCCATCCTGCCCTGGTAAAGCTTCCAGTGACTTACGAAGTGCAGCTACCTCCTTGTCCCTCAATGCAAGATCCCGCTCCAACTCCAATATATGGGACTTCTCAGAGACTGTGGCCACCTAAAAGAAAAAAATGCTCTTTTAGTTAACTACTGTATGTGTGCTGTATGGATAAGTGAGAAGTAATCTGATGGTATGGATATGATCGTCTTTTCAGGTTAAAGTGGATAATTTTAATATATTTTCATAGAAATGTAGTTCCATTCAATTTATAGGAGCAATGTTACATAAGCTAAGTTTAAAAAAAAACACTGGGACAGAATTGGGAGGATTAAGGACTTTACTACAGGGTGAACAACCACCAACCTAAAACTGATCATCTAACTGGGTTCCCACACTTGAATGGATTATCATGATCTTGTCTGTACATTTTCCATAGACATTGTTGAGCAGATTTACATTTATATGCCAGTTTGTTTGATTTCTTAATCAAATTTAGTAAGATCTTCAACCCTCTGCTTTACACTACCTCTCCCTAATAGACTGCAATAGTTGGGTTCAGAAAGTTAAAACGTTTTCCAAAAGAGAACTGATTTTTAACAATAACCTATAAACTTTTTAAGCCTGCTGTGAGCCCTGATGTTGTTAATCAACTGTATATGCTTTAGATGAAGCCATCAGTTTATTTCAATTTATTAAAAAAAAAAAAATCTTGATTAACAGCAGAATCCCTTTGAACCTGGTGAAAAAAAGTACATTACCCATGATGCTCTGAAGAAAATGTGACGTATTCGTGAGTGATTTTGTAATAAACATAAAATATATTGTGTCTATATATACAGAAGTGGCCAAAAGTGATGTCCGGTCTAGGAAAATGGACATCATTTATTAAAACATTTTAAGGATTTTGTAAGCATATTGCATAGTTGTGCTAGGTGTGTAAAACTAATATATGCACTTAATTGTTTCATTTGTAATAGTGAAACAACAAGATGTGTGTCATACAAGAACAATTATTTAATTCATAACTATATTCTTGTTTTCAATGTATGCTTTTTTCTGTAAGCTTTTTGTTTTTCTATGCATTTTTGTGCATAGTAAAAAAATCCACATTCCATGATAAACTGTAGTTTGCTTTCTTGCCAAATAATTGTGTCAGCTAAAAACCTTAACCAAGTGTTTTCTTCTTCCCAATATATTTTTTATTTTGTAGGGTCATTAACTCTTTCCCCGCCAAACAAGGAATTTTCCACACTTCCACTGTTATACGCTCGGGGGCGCTATTACGCATCTCCTGAATGAGTCCAGAATGTCCTGATGAAATGTTACAGAGTGAAACTTGCCTACATTCAACAAGTGTTGATAAAAAAAAAAACTTGAAGCTAGAATAAAACAGATTTTTGTTTAAAAGTAAAGGTTCTGTTCTTTATTTTGATGTATTGCGTGTTCAGATATGCATACAACAAAATATTCTGGGGGCTAGGGCTGGGCATCGTTCAAAAATGTTCGATATCGATACAGATACCTTGACTTCGATACCGGTTCCTGAACGATACTTTTTTCGATACCAGTTTTATGAAATCAATTTTAACAAGATTCCATTATCCAAAAAAAACAAAAAAACTTTGGTTTTATTTTTCAGCTTGATGTTTATACAAACTCGAAGACTCATCTCCTGAGCCGCTGCACAAAGAAACTAAATGTAACCAACACAATAAATCAGTGCAAAATATTTTTAATAAAGCTCAAATAGACTTCAGTTTACACATCTGTTAGGCTACATTTACACTAGTTAGTGACACACAGCTCCCGCGCTACTCTCCATTGGAAATGAATGACTTTCGGTCTGTCATTTGTCGGAGATAGTGGAAAGCCGGCTTGAAACGCAGTGGAAACGCCAGTACGATGAGGATAGTTTTCATTTTAGAACATAAACGTACCAGTGTAAATGTAGCCTTACATCTATGGGGGCTGGGACACATTCACACTACAGCCTCATGTGTGCGCCACATCTCTGAGTGTAACCGGTGTTAACTAGTAGGTGTGTTCGACTTGACTCGGACTGACTGTGCAGACCGATCGGTGTATTACAGTACCACGAGAGCTAAAGAGAGCAGACTGCTCCGTGTGCTTTCGAATCGCTCTCGCGGATGATCGATCTGCGCCGCACCTCTTCTAGTTGAACACACCGGCTAGTGCTGCAGGCTTATTGGCTCACTGACGCTGATGAGATTAACCCCTTAGGCATCGAAATTGGGTACCGAACGACGAGACGTTTTTCGATACTCGATGGTATCGAGGCAATTCGGTCGGTGCCTAAAAAGTATCGAACTCGATGCCCAGCCCTACTGGGGGCCATGAAATTGTAGTGAAAATGATAAAAAATGCTGGCAGTGGCTGGCAACTTTTTTTCCAAAAAGTCTAGTGGAGAAAGAGTTAAAAGCAAATTAGAAATTTCCTCTCCGGACATCAGTTTTGGCCACTACATATAAATATAAATCAACTTTAATTGAATAATTTTATATTTCTTTATAATATTTCTTTGAAGCCGTTAAGTACACTGTCTTATACCTTTGTCTTTTTTCAGATTTTTAAATACTTTTGTGCTTCAAATAAAAGTTTGTAATGTTGTAATTTGCTTTATAGCTGGTGGTTTGGTTCATGGCTTAAAATGCTTCAACAAAAACCTTTAAAAATCCCTATGGGAAAAATGAATGGAAAAACCAAAATCCAGAACCAACTAATGCACTCTTTATATAAAATATATATTTCCTATAGAACTTCCTAAGTTTGTACGGATTTCCAAAGGACAACTTATAATCACCTGATGTTTTCAGGTTCTCTATGACTGTGGGAACCCTGGTACAAAACAAATTTGCGTTCTCCATACCTATATGTATATTAAGACACCACAATAATATTACAGCAATTAGATATTTAGTGTGTGTTAGTAATCATTCCTCAAATTAGTTACTAATTAGAATAATTAAACAACATGCAGTGAAGATCCCTCACTGATGCCCTGACATATAAAAAATGTTAGCTGGAGCATTGTAGCATATCTTCAGTGATCCTTGACCCGTAGCCCAGGTGAAGATCCATTACCCTAGAGTCTTCTAACTCCCTCTGAAGTTTGTCAGCTTTGGTCTTTTCAAAGAGAAGACTCTGTTCAAGCTCCTTAAGAAGGGCATGCTCCAGCTGCGTCTGCGTCTGTTAGTACAGAAAGGGGAGAGGAAGAAACACAACCAGTGCCACCATCACATGCCAGCCTGATGCAGAAAGACGAGGGGTGAGGAGGACAGTTGAGGAAATGTAACGCAGAAAAAGAGGAGCAGGAAGATGTTGTGATGAATGAAAGTCAAATCAATGCCACAGCTGAGGAAAGTGTGAGGAAATATTGCAAGAGTATTGGTCAATGCTTATAGACATGCTGATGATGGCCAAACAAACAAATAAAACGGCAGACATTGCCAAACGCCATGCAGCATTATAGTGACTGGGGTTAGGAACAGTAACAAAAACGGTACTTTGACCACAACAAAGAGGAGAGGAACAATAAAAAAGTTATTCCTCATGACTAAGCACTAAATCAAATAAAACATGATTATACTGAAGTTCGCACAATGAGATCTTCATGTAGGTTAGTGACTTGTTACGGCATTACAGATTAATTCAGTATTTATTACTCTACCAAATTCAATAGACTTCCAAGACTATTTAAAAAGACAAAAGTATTTAACATCATGCTGTACACTGTGTGGGCTGGATGATCAACTTGACAAATGAACTTGAAAGTTGACAATATAGTATCCATTTTCCATGGAAATTCACTTGTAAAACAACTGACCTTTGTTATTTTAAAACAATTTTAAAAATTTACTTAGTACAGCTACAACTGATCAAGTATGTAAAGCATCTCCACAAGAATTCATTGTCTAGGTTGCTGATTTGCATGATTTTTAACCTAAAATCATTAGCCAACAGTTTCATGAATTTAAATGGATGAAAATAACCTAAGAGTTATTTTTGAATAAGTAGGTCAAGACATGAAAACAACTCAAATGTGCAATAATGAAGGCTGGAAACAATCAATGAACCCATCAAGAGTACTTGATTCATGAATAGGGCAAGATAAAACAAAACCAGAAAATATAAACTAAAATATGTAACAGACACATTACAGCTCTTTAAAATCTTATTTTGCAGATGATTCATACAAATATATTGAACTCAAAGCAGTGTGACCAAGACTTATGTATAATATTTGAAAATGCATATGTTTCAAGTTCTGCTGAATGGATACAAGGAGTACTTTCATAGTTACGTTAGGTCAACAAAAAACTGGCAGTGAGTCCAGTCTAAATAAAAGACCTTTCTCATTGTGGTAAAACTGGACTCATCTTTATTTGGCTTGAAATTTAAATTAGGGAAAAGTAAATATGGATATGATGCCACAACTTAAAGCAGGGATCTCCAATAGGGGTGTAACGGTACGTGTTTTCGTACCGAACGGTTCACGGGGCAAATTCCAAATAGAAGTGATCATCCCTATGCCCTACTCCCTTCGAAGGGCAGAGCCCTTGGAGTGGAGACTTTGGAGTGAGCAGGGCATGTGCGTGCCATTATGTAGCCGTTTGGCAGTTATACTAACAACAATAAAAAGACATTTATGCCATTAAAACAGCGACATCTGCTGACGGACACCATGCTGCATTGTCACGGGAACATGCCCGCTGAAGATAATGAGGATATTACGTCGCTCCCTTTGCCAAGTGCATTCCAAACGGCTACATAATGGCATGCACGTGCCCTGCTCACTCCCAAGTCTCCACTCCAAGGGCTCTGCCCTTCGAAGGGAGTAGGGCATAGGGATGATCACTTCCATTTGGAATTTGCCCCGTGAACCGTTCGGTACGAAAACACGTACCGTTACACTCCTAATCTCCAATCCTGCTGCAGGAGAGCACCCATCCTGCAGACTTCAGCTCCACCCCTGCTCCAACACACCTGCCTGTAATTATGAAGTAATCCTGAACACCTTGATTATCTGGTTCAGGTGTGTCTGATTGGGGTTGGAGCTGAATTCTGCAGAGCAGTAGCTCTCCAGGAGCAGGGTTGGAGACTCCTGCCTTAGGGCTTCTGTTTTAAACAAGCAACATGTAAATAATAGACATGGATAACATTGAAAATGCTTTCCCACAGTACTTTCCCACAGCACTGTAAACCTGCAGCTTTGAAGTCTATGTCAATCTGTGGTATTTAGAACCTCTATCGGTCACGCATCTTGTCATGTAAATTCAGTGAATGGATCAAAGTCTAGTGTGACCACAGCTGTGGGTCTGAATGTTATATCAGAGCAAAAATTTTCAAATACCTCCAAATCTCCTTTGGTAATGCAAGCTTCCTCCACCCGAAACTGCAGGTCCTCCACCTTCCTGTTTGGGACAATAATTCTTTATCATTGTCAGTTTTTATTTTCATTTTACGTTCTTACTCCGTCAGCTGTATTGTAAGGATTTATTTTGATTTATTTATATTTTTCCATTGTAGGGCATGAGAAATAAAAAACAAATAAATAATAATAATGTAATAAATATAAAAAACTATAACTTAAGTAAAAGTGAGTACATGTCAGCTGGTGCACTATTTAGTAACTATAAAATAACTTGGGTTGTATTTTTATAGTAAATATTTTATAAAGTTACCAGAAAGAGAGAGAATTCTGACATGCTGTTAAGAAAAATGCAAGACCTTTTTTCCCCATATAATCAGAGTTAAAGGTCACCAAAACTGGTTAACAGCATTCTTCAAAATATCATCTTTTGTGTTTGACAGAGTGAAGAAAGTCATACAAGTTTGGAATGGCATTATGGTGCGTATATTATGTCAGCATTTTAATTTTTGGGTGAACCCTATTCTCATTCTATGAATTTTATTGAACAAAAATGCAAAAGCCTTTAAGTGCCATCTGAAATTTTCTTCTGAAATTAGCATTTTTCTCAGGCTCCTATGTGTAGGTTCAGTAATTTCACTTTAATGGCAATAAATCAGTTCTTTTCACTGCCATGAAAGTGAAATAACTGAACATAAACATATGAGCCAGAAAAAAATGCTAATTTTATAAGAACATTTCAGGTGGCACTTACAGGCATCTGAACTCTTCATATGCCCTTTCATCAACAATATTAATATTCATTATCAATGAATACTGTCTACTAGCTCAAAGGTTATTTACATGCAAATACATTCCTAAAAGTCAAGAAAAGCCACAAAATTCAAACTGATTTCATGGAGTCTTTAATATGAAGAAATCTTAAATTGATTCATTAATACTACACCTTTTCTCCTCCTCCAGCTGGTTGAGCAGTTCCACCTTCTCTCTGTCCGCAGCCTCCACAAGCGCTCGCAGCTGGTCCATTTTGGCATCAACCTCCAATACATACTACAGAAATGATTCAAAACAATTACATTTACCTAATCTACCCTTATAACTTGCATTAATATTTTCCATATTTTATATATATATACAGTGCTGTGAAAATATTTTTGTGAATATATTTTGTTTTTTTTATTTTTTGCATGTTTGTCACACTTAAATGATTCAGATCATCAACCAAATTTTAATATTACACAAAGATAACCCAAGTAAATACAAAATGCAGTTTTTAAATAATTATTTTATTTATTAAGGGAAAAAAAGCTGTCCAAACCTGCCTGGCCCTGTGTGGAAAAAGTAATTGCCCCCTAAATCTAATAACTGGTTGTGCCACCCTTGGCAGCAACAACTGCAATCAAACATTTGCGATAACTATTCTTTGCTCCTGGATGTGTGAGCTACGCGATCTCCGATATATGGGAGTGTGTGTGTGTCAGTAAGCATCGCATTAATATAGAATGGTAATTAAAGGCTCTAATGCGCACCAGCACACCAGTATAGGTGTGTGTATTGTAGGAGCTAGACGACGTATGATGACGTGTGACGGTATAGTAGTTGTGTTCCATTTCTTAAGAGTGTCAAGGGGTAGGGGTGAAAATATTTCCCCGTTTCAAGGGACAAGGGGAAGGGGTAGGCGTAGGCGTAGATGAAGGGCTATAAAATAAAATTGGGACTGGGCCTTCCTGTCATACACACACCCTTGTTACTCCAATTACATACATAGAGGTGACCCAGGGTCAAAACCTTGAGAAATATCTAGAGATAAAAATAAAACATTATGTACATGCCATAACTGTAGTATTAGTAGATTCTTTAATCAATCACATGCCAATACATAAAGGCAGCACACTGTGGTCATAGATAAATAAATAAAAATAAACAAAATAAATATGACGTTTATGAATTGTTTTCACAACCACTACTTCTGAAACCAAAAGCATCAAGTGGAAGTAACAAGGGGAAGAAAGGCTTTTATTAGAACCTCAGAGCCTGAGCACTGACGTAAATGAGCGCTCATTCTTCCTCTTCATTCGCTTATAAAGGCTATAATACTTTTTTATATGCTGACAGCATTCCGCAAATGTGCATTTATATCATAAAAATCAGTATTTGAATATCTAATAAACATTTAATTCCACAAACAGTGTAAACTTTAGCAAATGTAGTTAAATCTTCTAAACTGTGCATTAAAGTCTGCTTAAAAACATGTATACTGTGTGCAAGATCTGTGCAAATGATCCAAGCGGTGTGAACTGTATGCAGAAAGTAGTCTTTAAAAAAAAATAAATCACTGGACACCCACAAGCAATTTCTACGATTATAAGTTACTGTGGTTTAGTTCCCCACCTCCCTGTATATATTTAACTAATTGAATTCATATAAATGTGTGATTAGTTGACTAATTGCACGTTTAGTCGACTACTAGTCAACTAGAAAAATCTTTAATCGGGGGCAGCCCTAATAAACACATCCACGGTGTTAAGACTGTGCCTTAAGAACTACAGTGGGGAAAATATTTATTTGATTTCCTGCTGATTTTATAAGTTTGCCCACTTACAAAGAAATGAAGGGTCTGTAATTTTTATGGTAGGTTTATTTTAACGCTCAACGACTCTTTATTTCTGCACAAATGGGAAATTTCTGTTCATAAACATTGATTTGCATTTCAGTGAGTGAAATAAGTATTTGATCCCCAAGCAAAACATGACTTAGTACTTGGTGCAGAAACCCTGTTGGCAAGCACAGAGGTAAGACGGTTTTTGTAGTTGGTCACCAGGTTTGCACACACCTCAGGAAGGATTTTGATCCACTCCTCTTTACAGATCCTCTCTAAATCCTTAAGGTTTCTTGGCTGTTGTTTATCAACTTGAAGTTTCAGCTCCCTCCACAGATTTTCTATATGATTGAGGTCTGGAGACTGGCTAGGCCACTCTATGATCTTAATGTGCTTCTTCTTGAGCCACTCCTTTGTTGCCTTGGCGGTATGTTTTGGGTCATTGCAATCCTTGAAGACTTATCCATGACCCGGAAGGAGGTTTCTCATCCAAGATTTTACAGTACATGGCCCCATCCATTTGCCCCTCAATGCGGTGAAGTCATCCTGTACCCTAAGCAAAAAAAAAGCCACAAAGCATAATGTTTCCACCTCCGTGCTTGACTGTAGGGATGGTGTTCTTGGGGTCATAGTCAGCATTTCTCTTGTTGAGTTGAGTTAATGCCAAAGAACTCAATTTTGGTCTCATCTGACCACAGCACTTTCTCCCAGGCCTTCTCTGAATCATTTAGATGTTCTTTGGCAAACTTTAAACGGGCCTGTACATATGCCTTCTTGAGCAGTGGGACCTTGCGGGCGCTGCAGGATTTCAGTCCATTGCGGCGTAGTGTGTTACCAATGTTTTGCTTGGTGACTATGGTCCCAACTAAAATTCTGTCATTAATTACTCACCCTCATGTCGTTCCAAACCCGTAAGACCTTCGTTCATCTTCGGAACACAAATTAAGATATTTTTGATGAAAAAAGTGGCTCAACTTCAGTTTTGCGAAGCTACCAGAATACTTTTTGAGCGCAAAGAAAACAAAAATAACAATTTATTCAACAATTCTTCTCCCCCGAGTTATGTTTTCCGCCATTTTAGACAGTATAACAATGCATACGCACGCTTTCCCCCAAGTGTAAACAACGCTGATTACGCAGATTACATTCATGCGCGCGCTTTCTCTCCTGAACGTAAACAACGCTGATTACGTCGATTACACTCTTGGGTACTGCTAAATTAATTGCAGGCTACT